GTACCCCTACCCCCCCCCCCCCCCCCCCCCCTTTACCAATTTGTGGCAGTTAGTGTCCCATTGTCGTTGAGAGCATTATTCTTGAATATCCATGCCTGCTTTCTGCGCAATCTGGTGGCATGTAGCGAACGATTGGTGCTTTCTGAGCGGATTATCAAGTCTCCTGTCAGCGTCAACGTCGAAGTCAATTGCATGGTATACCTTATTTGTCCAAAAGGGGCCTCTTTATAGCGCATCTATGGATCATGTCACACTTGGATGGTACTCGATACCATTTTATTGTCCTTTTGATACTTATCTTCCCGCTTGTGAAACGCTTCGTGGCCAGACCGGAGCGCTAGTTAATAACAGAAAATTATGGATATAAGGCAGAGGGGCCGTATTTGATAATCTCGTCTTGGGGCCGCAGTCCGGAAAGGGTCCCGAGAATGGGGGCAATACCTAGGTAAGCACGCTACAGTGGTAGGTGCATGCTAAGGTCTAGGCTGGAGAGGATGTTCAACCCAGGGGTATATTATTTAATTGCGTGATTCTTCGTCCCAACATCCTGCAAAAGCCGCGGATGAGTGCAAGGGACCTCTTGGCCGACCAATCTGTCCAATCTGACACCCCAGCTTGGTTGAGCCAGTCGGGAAATTCTGCACCGTGGGACCGACAGCCTCACCCTTGCCATGCCTGCCGGGACCACTGTCGTCGACATCGACCAGTCGTGTTTGCAGGCGCGGATGGCGGACGACGGAATGCTCGTGCATGCATGTAGGCTAGTGAGTCTGCTGGTGCAGTTCTGGGCGTATTTTTTTTCCCTCTTTTGTTTCCCTCGCAAGCACCTCTCAAATCAGGAAATGCTTGCTCGCCTAACGTTTACCTGTCGCTCTCCACGACCTCCATGTTAGTCGGCCCGATGGAGATCCACACCAAAAAGATAGCGCAGACATGTACACTTGACCGTCGCTTTGGGGCTGAGGCATGGCGGGATGGAGGCAATATATGCATGTCTGGCTGAGTGCGATGTGATTGATGATTGTTCTTTCGATGGCCTGGAAATATCGACTCGTACACCTGAAACATACCTGGCAGGGCGAAGGTGGTAATTCCGCCCGTGCGCCTTCAGGCTGAATATGTTTCAACATAGTTGGCACCCCCATTTCCTCTCTCCTTGTTCGGTGCATGGTCAAGGGCGACAACCGTCATTTGATAAGCATTATGTCTCAACCGCCGCAAGATTCACCAGCGGCTCCCGCCAGCAGCCGTCCTGCCGCCCCGCCCCTGTGGCCGGCAACACGCCTGATGGCTCTACCACCTGGACTCCAGAGCAGACCGCGACTCTCATGGGCTGGTTCCTGGAATACCAGCGCACCATGGAGAAGTACGACATCGAGTTCGAAAACTACTCGTCTATGTTCGAACACGTGCTGGCGCTGGCTGTCGAGGAGTGGCCGGACCTCGCGCCCCTGATTAGCACGAGGTTCATCTACACAAAGTTCGACCACGAGCGCAAGCGCTGCGGGGCGCTGAGAGGCTGGGTCGAGGACTTTGGCGGCTCGTGCGACCCGGACGACGGCCGGTGCGAGGTCGACAGGTCTGACAAGCGCTAGAAAAGGTTCAAGAGCGCGGCCTCGTTCAGGACATCTGCCTGGGTGTCTAGCGGGCTCCCGCTCGGGGACTTGAAGGTCTACCAGGAAGTGTGGGGCACGATGTGGCGACGGGCGCGTACATCGAGCGTCCTCAAGATATCCCTAGGATCTCATCCAGGTGCCCCGGGATGACCGATGGCGGCCGGCGTGCGACGATGGGTCACAAAGGAAACCCTCGGAGACACTAGTACGCCCGCCCGGGTTGTCCGATAAGCAGTGGCACGAGCTGGTAACAGACCCGGATTGGGTGGCATCCCGACGAAGTTCGAGATCCGCGAGACAATGAGTCTGGTCAACAAGAATGATGTCCGCCTGCGACGAACGAGCCTGGATAGACCAGGTGATTCTTGACCGCGTCGTCCCCCACATTGAGTCTAAGCAGGACTTTGTGACGACGTCCCGCGTTTTTATGCACAAGGGGACAATACTACCACCTCACCACACCAGTTCCCGACCCCCGAGGCCTGATCGTCATGCGGAAGCGGCCGAGGCTGGTTCAGCTGAGCACATTGAGCCGGACTCCGGATAGAGGGCTAGTGAGGCAAGCCTGGCACACGCATCCCCCATGGACGCATGAACTCTGGCGGCCCAGCTCCCGAGCAGCATTCGTCATGATACACAAAACACGACCGAGCAGTCCGAGCAGGGTGTGGGGGCCGTAGAAAGTTCTTGTCGGCCGCGAGAGGTCAAGTGGCCGCGCCAGACAACCCTAGCTGCTGCGAGACTGCTGGTGGCGTGAGCAAACATGGAGGACCCAGACTTGCCAGAATATTAGGCGCAGATGCAGACGGCGCCAAGGACGCACGCGACAGGGGTCGATTTCAAGAGCCACTCGCAACGATGGGATGAATTAGGTTTAGGGATGGAAATCATTGGTGGGGCCGGCTGCAGCCTGCACCAGCTTACACAGACGCACACGTAGCTACATTAAATGTTTAGGTTGTGCCACCGCCTTGGGTCAAACTTATCCATGTTTTTTGTTTTTTGTTTTGTTTTTTTTTGTCAACGTGAGAACCATGGGTGGCGCCATGGTGGATTTCTCTTCCAAAAGTCCACAAACTTTGGATGGCTAATAAGCCATGCGGCCAAAAAGCAGCCGATTGGACCATCAAAACCCGCCATGCCCTTTCGGTACCAAACTATGGTCACGACGGATTCGCCTCGACTGTGACCTTTTTTCTCTCCAGTCCGTCTGATATATTAACAAGGGACGACATAATTAGTTTATTCTACTCCCGCGTGGGAACGAGGCCAGAATGGGTTTTGTTCCCGGCAAGCGAGCGTGGGTGTTGACGCTTGGACCTTGAAGGTCCTGAACAACGGGTAGGCTGTGGAAGCGCGAGGAAAAAAACTATTGATGGCTTGGCAGCCACATGGCAGTGGAGGTGTGGAGGTAGATGGGTACGATATGTCAGATCGACAGCACACTGGAGATAATGTCAAACATCCCAGCCCCGTGCTACAACCCGATGAACCACTGATGACATGTCTGCGATGATGACCTCTTACCTGTAAGCAAGTCGCGGCTAGTAGATCGGTAGGCCGGTAGATAGATTGCGATATTGACAGACAAACAAATATAAATCTAAGCAACTCTCCGACGTCATGACGAAGCAGACTTGTCAAGCAATCCAAGCCCACAGCGAGCATCGCGATTGGCCAGCCATGTTGACAGAGCTACCACGCTGAGCCCCACTCGCACGTTGTTCCGCGGCCAGGAGGCTACCTAGCATGTGGTTGCAGTAGTGTTCCGAGCGCACATCCTTCCGGTTGGAAAGCGGTGATCCATCGACCTACGATTGCAGACTGCTGACGGACATGTCAAGATTGACCCCGTTTCCTTCTCGTTTGCCTGTTTCTCTGCTTCTGGAAACGGGAAGGGGGGAGCTCGTCCGTCAACGAGCCCCCGCCCCGCCAATGCAGCGCGGCCTTGGCCCCTCGAAACGCCCCACGCGGAGCTTCACAGCTAAAATTCAACCCGACCAACGATTGCTGCCGCTCACTTTCACCTCTTTCCGTTTTGGGCGAAACTTGCGAGCCCCGGACAGGCGCGCAGAGCGCGGGCAGGCGCCAGACGCGAGTAGGCTGCAAGAACGGCTTTTGTAGCGCGCCGAGTCCATGGATTTGCCCAACCCGGATTTCTGCATACGAGTTAGAGAGGGTTAGCCTCGTGCGGACTGCCGGATTCCTCGACTCTTTCCGTTGGCTGCCGGTGGTCAATGCGCGAATAGACGACAGCCGATTCGGTCCTCATCGGCCCTCGCTTTGTCTTGCTTTCATCGGAGGCTCCTGCTACCATGGCAGCAGGCACCCCTGTTCCGTCTCTTTTTCTCTGTATCCTCTTGGCTGCAGTCGACCAACCGCCCCCTCGACAGGCTCTCTTGTTATTTCCTCTCATGGGGTCGTATCGGAAGAGGGGTTTTTTTTCTCGGGTGATGGGAGGAGGAAGCCTGCCTCATGACCTCATTTCGCTGGCCGTTGCAGCCCCAACTCTCATATACTGGACCCATGCTCGCGGGAGACCCATGCTCCCGGGAGACCCTTGGGCGGCATGGGGGGGTGAATGCATACAATACTTCGGTGGCATGTCCAGGATACATCAGACAGCTGTCGACAGGGGCCGCGGGCTTGGGGTTTGCGCTTGCTAAGGAAGAGGCGGGAAGCGGGAAAAAGAAAGCAAACAAGCAAGCAAACAAGCAAGTAAACAAGCAAAGACTGGAGAGCTTGGACAAGCGCCAGTGGTGGGATGCAGGCTGTCGATCTGGCTGTCTCGTCTTTATAACGTCCGGAAGAAAGCGGCCGAAGCCTCCGCGTGAACTACGGGCATTGCCAGGGGGAGTAAAGCAAGACAGCGGGAGGATGATTGGATGAAGACGAAACGGTGACATGTCGAGTAGGTATCGAAGCCGTGTTTGGCTGCTCTATGCCCTGCCGCACCAATGCCTGCCTTGGATGGTGACTGAACCCGCCGCCCCAACGAGAGTGGGACACGGGGTGCCCCTGCTTCGACTGGTGCTGCTTGTCATCCTGACTCTCCTCGTCTTTTTTCCACCCCTTCTCCTCGGCGCAGCCCGCCTCTGATGTCCACGTTGGGGTCACGTCTGGCAACCCTCCATCCTCGCCGATCCTAGATCCTCAACACCACCCTCCTTCACGCCACGCATTACACCCTCGACATGCACGGTTGCAATCCGTCTGGCTGGAACTCGCCCCCTGGCCTGCAGTAGCTTCTTGGTTCCTTCTTGAACCCGCGAAGGTCGCCTTCTTGGGGACAGCGTCTATCCAGCGTCTTCCTCGTCGCCCTTCCCCAACTGAGACTCAGCTCCTCGCCCGACGGGCGCCCCGTTGTTTTCTCCCGTGCGCCCTGGCCGGCCGCCGACAAATATCATCCGTATATCCCGCCGTTGCTTTTATTTTCCTTTTCTTGTGGTACCCATCGGATCTCGACTCCCATGCTCCGTCCACCCATGAAAGCTCGGCGTTGGTCACATGCATTCTCTGATATCCTCCCGACCTTCCATCTCATACAAAAGCCCGCCGCCCATGGACCAACCTCATCAACTGTCGGCCTCGCTGGTCGCGCGGATACCAGTCCCTTCGTTTTATCCACCCACGCAACCATTCTCCCAACCCTACCAAACCATGGCTGTGGCATCACACCGTGCCAGGCGAGGCCAATCGGTTCATGTATACTCTCTCGCTGCCGAGATACTGGCCCTGATTTTCAGGCATGTAAGTATGGCTTTTCGTCCCGTCTGTGGCCGTCCCGTTTCTTCCTAGCTATCTCTGTGTTCGACGCACTCTGCACGCTCGAGCTGGACCTTTCTCAAAGGCATGCTGAGGCCCATCGTTAACGCGCCCTTTTGTAGGTCCGCAACTACAGCCTGGTGGATATCGTTGTTGTGCGCCTGGTGTGCCGCCGCTTCAACGAGATCGCAATCCCCATACAGTACCAGACTTTGGTCCTTACCAAGCGGCTCCTCTATCACCCTAGCCCGGGCCGGTTAATGGTGGCATATGCCAATATGCATCTTTACACCAACCATGTGATAGCCTCCATCGACGACCAAGAAGACTGTGCTCAGAACCACAGGGCTGTCGCCCGAATCACGGAAAATATCATGAAACTTTCCACCTTCACGTACGCGGGAACCCTCCATCACCCGATACTGCCCCTTAACCTCAAGAAGCCCTACGCTGGCTCCCTGGGATCCCTACCCTCGGTACTAATTCGTCTATTGTTTTTAAAGATGGCGCTATTCCCGAACAGGGCCGTCACTGCCTTGCACATGCCCCATCGGGTCTTTATTCCTTCGGGCCCCGGGCGGCCGCGGTGCATTACGCAGGGAGACTAAAGTCCATATCGAGGGCCTATCTCCAAGATGCATAGAGCAGCACCAAAGCGCCCTTCTCGACGGGATTCCGACCGAGCTGCTTGCGTCGCTTGACATGGCATACCCTAGCCCGCCGCTCCAGGGAGGCGTAAATGGACTCAAACAAATGCTCCTTGGTTCCAGATCGATAAAGACTTTCCAATATCGCGACAGAGGTCAAGGTACAAGCTTCGAGTTGTCAGGAACCGATCGACTCCCCAGCTTCGAAAAGCTCTACATGGAGTGCTATGACTGGGTACACAGCAAGGAGGAGGTTGCGCGGCACTGGGACTTCACTCGCCTGCGGTCGCTACAGCTTATCGACATGCCGATTTTAAGAACACTGCGGTCACTTGATCCAAGGGACCTCTGGGGACTCCGTACTCTGGTGTTGCGGGACTCTGGGATCTCGGATGGCCGGGAGGAGCTCTCGTGGCTACTGGACACGATTGTGCGGTCACACGTGGGCGCACTGCAGCGGTTGGAGTTGACTGTTGAAACACAGTCCTTCAGGATGGACGCTCTGTTTTGTCACGCCAGAACCCTGCGGCACCTCTCGCTACGAGACTTTGTCGGCTTCTCTGACGATACTCGCCGATGCCCTACCCTGTGGGTTGGCGACCTTGAGCGACTGGCTTCGGAACTTGTCGAGTTGCGTACCCTGGAGCTCGACATGGACACTGCGCGAACGGATCCGCCACTCTTCCTTCGAGCGCTGTGCATGTTTCCCAAGCTGCATACCCTCACGATACATGTGCAGTACGTCCGTCTTGCTACGTTTTTGGCGTCGTATTATACCCCTTGAACAAAGGTTGGAGACTAACAGTTGGAACTTGCAGCACGGTGGTCCACCCCTTCGAGGAACTACCGCAACGGATTGACAAGGACCGCGAAGCAGCCATGCAGCTTTTCTCGTTCCTAACAAGCGAGCGAGCCAAAGCCATGGGGCTGGCTGGCGGAACTGGCGAACCTCCCAGCTGGCGGCGCATCACGCTCAACGTCGGCGGCTGGAAGCCCGTCATGGTGCGGCGGCTGAGCCGGTCCTGGAAGGCGCAGAACCGCCGGGGGATCTTCGCAGAGCGCTGCTTCGTGATGCACCAGCGGCAGTGTGCATCGCCCCTGTCGCCCGAGCCGTACGAGATCTCCGAGGTCGCCTGCGACGAGCTTGGCAGGGATCACCTCGATCCCCAAGACGACCCTGACGTCAACGAGGAGCTGAGTGGGATAGCCCACCGCATGGGCCAGTTTCAGGACCCGGACGAGGCGCCTGAGGTATGTCGAAATCACAGGATTTAGTTCCTGTCATTCGAGGCCAGCTTCGCACACGTTCCTGCTACACAAAACTCTTGGTCGAGCATAGCAGACTTCATCCAGGCTCTGTTGCTGACAATGGCCGTTTAGTTTTCCTATGCCGACTTTACAGAAGCCGTCCTTGAGTATATCCATCGAGGGACAATCCCTCCTGGCAATATTTTTGCGAGCCAGGCAGCGGACTTTGGCGACGGCACCTGGTAGTCGTCCACACCCCACCAACCATGGAACAAGAACCGCCTTGCGTTAAACCATTTCATATATGCGGCCAAGATGGTACGAGGAGACCTTGCGAAAGAAGGCTCGGGCGCATATGTCGGGTGCATTTTACAGCATTTACGCATGGGGCGGTATAAATTCGAGGTTTAGCATTCTGGTTTCCTTGTGTCCTTAGGTACCTGATGAGATATGACAGCATTTGCATGAGGGGTAATAGGACTGGCTGGATTAATGTCTATATTCTGTTTTTTCCTTCCACTTATGAAGCGGCGTTGCTTTCCCTTGCTATTGTCTCTCTCGGAGTCCAGTGCAGCGCAACCTTATAAAGCGGTTACTTGAAAGAAAACGGGCACAGCAAAAGTAAAGAACAATGAGTGGAATGGTTGGCCTCGCAGCAGCCGCCGCTCCCGGGGCTTCTCGACAAATTTCCACCAGGTGTCGAGGAGCGCTGTGGAGCTGCCCAGCCTAGTTGGTCCTCTGCCGGCGGCCTGAGGCGCTGAGAGACAGCTAAATTGGATACCCTCCCGCCGCTCTGAATCACTTCTTATGTGTAGTGTACTGCTTTCGTCGCCCCTATGTTTTTACCCCAGGAGCAGGGGCCTTTTTCCAGCACTGTCGGTCAGAAAAGCTCCCAGGACTATTCTAATATCAAACTATCATTCCCATTTGCAGGATTCATCCTCTTCGGCAATGATGATAATTAAAGCAGCGATACCGCATAGTGACTTGTACCTTGCCTTGCAGTGCCGGCTCCAACATGACTGAGGCCAACATATTCAAGTTTCGTTGTGTTTAAACTCAGCACGGCCGTTTCTACTATAGGCTACAACGAGACGGGAGAGATTATGGCTTGGACTCCCCATAGCCTCAGCTCGGTTGCTAATTCGGTAGCGGGGTTATTTCCAGGCGAGAACAGAGAACCTACCGCTCCCCCTACCGGGACTTGAGCCACTGGTCGGATCTACCTGAGCGCAAGAGCAGCCACCTGGTTCACCCTTCTACCCTGTTCTGCAAATATTCGTCCAATCGCTATTAGGGCGCGGCGTGTCTGGTCTGTAATCACCACTATCAGGGCGGCCTTCTTAAAGTCTCCTGACGCTGCCCTGCATCGAGCCAATCGAGTGTGGCATGGCCCAAGCCCAGCAACCCAACCTTGATCCAATTTCGAGGCGGCCTTTGGAATACTGCCCTCGTCTGGTTCAAGTCCGAAGTCTTTCTCACCACCTCGCTCTCTCGGTGTTCGCGAGCCGGGAGGCCTTTCTCTGACTGACATGATATCACAGAGCTCACTTGTGGAGTTATCTGATGAAGGAAACAGTCGGTGGCAGCTGAGAGAGGCAATGCGCAAGGGACAGCCACACCTTGACGTCACCCTCTAAGGAGCCGCGCCAGTTATGTATACGAAGTCAAAGGCGCTAGATCTTGTCAGCAACTGATCGTGAGCATAGGCGAGGCAAGCAGGCAGCAGGCCGACAGGCCGACAGGCCGGAGGCACCATCAGTCGAGCGACCAGAAGACAGCACTTCATAGCATTCGGATAGTGGCGGTCGAGGAGCGGAGCACTTTGTTGTGGAACAGCTCGAGCGCGCGCGCAGAGGGGCGACGAAGCAGAGATGGTCAGGCAGCTCGCGCGCCCACCAGCCACATCCCACCGGGCTCGGTTTATTGCGATATTAAACTGGTCTGAGGGATTGTAGATCGATTAGCGCAGCTCTATATGGAGAAGGTTGATCAGGCCTTTCTATTCCCATTTTACGTTATCTCTACCGGACACACAACACGCAACCAAGTCCTCAGTGGAGGGATGGTCGGGGTGCTAAATCTTGTCCCCGTCAGCACGCCTTTCGGGTTTCCTGGATGCCACTCCAAGCGCGAGTCATCACCCGCATATCCGCCATGTGCCAAGACGGCGGCAGGGTGTTCCTTGACTCGCAAAGTGCACCTATACGCTCCGTACCCGGAGGGAGAAGGCAGCTCTGGATGGAAGCTGCTGCCTTCCTTCCATCTCCCTGATATTTGAGTCTTCACCGCCACGAAGAAAGAACCGACGAGTCCAATACAAACGCACAAAAAGATCCGCAGATATGAGCTACAGCGAGGAACAGCTGGCGCAGTATTTTGCCCACCTAGGCTACGACCCGCGCGTCGACCCGACCCGGCCGTCGGGCTGGCTCGACTCGGACCGACTGGGTTTCCTCACGGAGCTGCAGGCGCGCCAGCTGGCCCGCGTCCCGTTCGAAAGCATTTCGCTGCATTATTCGGCCGCCAACCCGCCTCTTTCGTTGGACCTGCAGGACCTGTTCCGCAAGATAGTCCACGAGGGTCGAGGCGGCTACTGCATGGAGCTCAACGCGTTTTTCAGCGCCGTGCTGCGCGGCCTGGGCTTCACACTCATCAACACCGGCGCCAGGGTCATGGGGCAGGACGGCGTTTTTATGGGCTGGTATGTTCGCTGCTCTCTGGCCACCATCGCGTCTGGGGAGGTGCTGGCGCTCACCTTGGAGGAATCTGATCAAGGAACCACCACCTGAACCTCGTCTCTATCAATGGCATCCGATATATGGTCGACGTTGGGTTCGGCAAAGGGGGCTCGTTCTCGCCTGTGCCGCTGGACCGCGCTGCCGCCGAGCGCGAGGGCGGCCTGGAGTTCGAGCCGGTGCTAGGCACTCGCGGGAGACTCGAGTACAAGCGGCTGGAGCTACATAGCGACCCGACTCAGCGCGTCTGGGTTTACTCGACGCTGAACTCGCCCTGGTCGACGTTGGCGGAAGACAATGAGGAGCAGGCGGGCGAGGGCCCCACGTGGCGGCCGCGCTACTGCTTTGGCGAACTCGAGTATCTGCCAGCCGATTATGAGGTTATGAACTACTATGCCATGACCAACCTATCCAGCTATTTCGTCACGGCAGTGCTAGCGGTTCGGACCATTTTGCAGGAGGAGGAGGAGGATTCTTGCGGCGACGCAGACGCTGTTGGGGATGCGTCGGCCGGTGGTAGTACCCGACCTCGAGCCAAGGGGACGATCGTGCTACACAAGGACGAAGTCAAGCAAACGATCCGTGGAAAGCCCAAACTGCTCGAAAGGCTGACCAGCGAAGAGCAGAGGGTCCAGGCGCTGGAGAAGTATTTTGGCCTGGTGGTCAGCCCAGAGCAGGCAGCGTGCATCAAAGGCCGCGAGAGCGAGATCCGGACAGAATAGGCAACATTTTGCATCGCCCTTGGCTGTGGCAGCACATTGCATTCATATTCACCAGCGTTTGGGGCCGCCTTGAAAGGCGGCCACTGGCCCAATGATAAGATTACTCTGCGACATGGGCACTTTCCGATGCCTTGTTCATCCCCCCAGCCACTGTCCTGCTACTCCCTTTCCTGAACCGCCGAACTTTGGGGGCGGGAGGCACAGCATATGGACACGGGGCTGGGGGTGCGGGCGGGGTCCAAAACACAGCCGTGAAGCCGGCGCGGCAGGCGGCACAAGTGGAACCTTGTCGCCATGCACGGCGCTCTTGTCGCCTGTCCATGTCTTACTGCCCGGTGGGCCCGCGTGCTTCGGAGCTATGTGGCCAGCTGCGGAAACTGATCGGCGGAGGAGATCGTCTCCCACTTTGACTGCGAATCAGTATCAATCCGATCGCTTCTCCCCTCTGACGTGCAGCGGAAAGCAGGCCCACTAGTCCACTGTCGTTAACCGGCGGCTTATCTCCACCGTCTCATCGCCCAAAAGCCAAGATGTGCCCGTCGGCTGTGTGCTACACTCACACTCCTTCCTTCCCGCCAACCAGCCGACTTACTGGCCCAAGCCTCTTGGCTGGGGACAGACCGGGAGATTGGGCTTATCCAAATGGGATACCCCCCGGTCTGCTTTCTGGGCTCTGCCATCCGCCCGACATCGACAAGAGAGAAATAGGAAGAGGCTTGCAACATCCCAGCCATCCGCCTAGCATCTCCTTTCTGCTGTCTTCTTTCTTCGTTTCCCACTATACTTTCTTAACTCCATTAGGTAGGACGAGATGGACCGAAAACCATTGCATACCGCCGGAGCGCCACACGAAGACTATTCGGGGCTCGAGGTGAATCCTTGTAGCGATGAGCACAAGCAAGCCGTGGAGAATGAATACCCACCAACGACTCGAGCCCCGATTCCGGCTTCAGCCGGAGGCTATCTGCCGCCCACGACGCCATACCCAGAGCTGCACTCACCACTAGCCCCGTCGTCCGCGTCGCCGCCCATCGAAAGTGACAAGATTACCAGCCAGTCCGCGCACGGATACTATGCGGGCAGTCAACGGGGCGACGACCAAGGAGGAGGCCGGCAGCCGCCAAGTTTCGGCTACCCGGCGCACCCGCACGAGCAACAGGGCGTTGCAGGAGCCCATGGGAATGGTAGCGGAAGGAAGCGAACCGCCATCTTCATTGGGCTCGCCGTCCTAGGGCTTGTCGTTGCGGGCGTCGTTGGAGGCGTAGCTGGATGGCAAATCACCGAAGCCAAGAATCGTAGCAGTGGTAGTGGCAGTGGCGGTGGCCCTGCCTGTCCGGAGAATAGGTCAGAGCCCTCGACGGCGGGTGTCTCCAAGATCCTGAAGGCCGGGTCCGCCCTGGCCGCCACAGGATTTCGGTACGATGGGGATTACCAAATAAGAGTTTTTTACCTTTCGCCAGAGGGAGCCCCCTACTACTCCTCATTCGACACCGCATACAGCTCGTGGTCGACCCCGGTCAAGATTGCGGAGGCGCTTCCACACGCCGGCACGTCTCTCGCTGCGGGAGTCAACATGCGAAATCATTACAACGTATGGTAGCCCCGAAATGGAAGATGAGCAACGGAAGGAAAGCTAACACACGTCTTACCAATTGCAAACAGAAATTTATCCCACGGTTCATGCTTTACTACCAGGGAACGGATTCCAAAATGTTGAGCGTGGGCTTCCAAGAGTCGGTGCGAAGATCCGGGGAGCCCAACCCCGAAATCATGGGAACCCTCGAAAACTACCGGATCGGTACCGGCGCCTCGATGGGTGCCTACTGGCCGTACCTGATCTTCCAGGACAACGGCGCCGCCGGCACGGGCTTGGTTGAGCACAACATCACGATCCTCGGCATCCGCGACAGCCGCCAGCGCGTCAGCCGCATCATGGAGTCCGGCACCAGCGGGCCCCAGGTCGCGCAGGGCTCACCGGTCCTCGCGCTCCCGCTGAGCGCCGACGTGCCCCGCGACGAGCTGCGGGTGGTCTACCGCAGCACCGAGGGCGGGCGCCTGGCCGTGTTCGACCGCAACTCCAAGCGCGAGCAGGCGCGGCGCCACACGCTCCCGCCGGGCTACACGCTCGGCGAGGGCGCGCCACTCGCGGGCTTCGCCACGCGCAAGGGCAGCAGCGCCATGACGACGCACCTGCTCTGGCGCGGCGGGGACGGCCGGGTCATGGCCGGGAGGCAGGTGGGAGGGGCCGGGGCCACCTGGCAGGACCCCGTGGCGGAGCCGGCGTTTGGCGACGCGGCGGGCAACACGCAGATCGCGTGCGTCACGGCCGGTTCCACGTCGCAGGAGAGCTTGAAGGAGCCGATCCGCGAGAGCGACGACATGAACCGGTGCTTCTTTCAGAATAAGGATGGGGCGCTCGTGGAGGCTTGGTTCGACGGGGAGGCTTGGAAGAAGGTCGGGGTTGTCCACATGCCATTGCCATCGCCATGAAGGTCACTCACTGCTGGGCCGGTGGCGATGGCCGTGCATGGGATGGGGTTTTGGCGTTTATGGACTGTAAGGATCAAGGTATCCAGCTTCGTTTAATATCATTGCTATCGATCAGTCTGCCTTGCACGTACTTGGGTGACAGGCAGATACCCGGGTAAACAAGTTATACCAAGCTCGGGCAGGGGTGGCGAAACTAGTAGGCAATGGTGGATGCGGCTTGTCGTATGGCCAACACAAGAGGAAGAGGCGAGGCGAAGTGTCTGGGCAAGCTATGCCTCGCGTATTCCCAGCCCTGCCATTGTGCTAAAACAATGGCATGTGCTACAAAACCTACTCCTCATCGTTCAGCCCTACTGCTAGACACTTTTTACAGCCAATGGTGCACTTCTAAAGGGCCATTAGACATTGATGACATCCCCTACTCCACGAAATCACATGGAAATGGGTGCAGGTCAGAGAGGCTCATTGTATACTTGAAAATTGGGTGTATATTTGGGTATCAATGGGAGGCTACAAGAAAACTCAGAAGGGCATAAGGTTCCCCGGCACCACAAGAGTGCCAGCTCGCCGCAAAAGCCAAGCCAGTCGAGCATCTCACAGCCAGTCTGTCTCCTGGCATCCAGTAACAAAAATTTCCTCCACCAAGACCCAGATGCGTCCCGACAAGAACAAGGACTACCTCCCGATCATCATTGTTCCGTAGTGTCTAAAGAGAGGCCACCCGGGTCCAGTTCCTCCGCATCCCGTCCCGGCCAGATCAGAGACTGATTACAGGCAGCGAACCTGGCACTCCCGGCTGTTGAAGGTGCAGCGCGACTTGTCGTTCAGGGAGGCAAAGTTGATGAAGCCTCCGTCGCCGAGGCCGTGGAAGGTGTTGGGGGCCATCATGTAGAAAAAGTCATAATCCGTCTTGAGGATCGACATCTTGAGCTCGGCCTTGGCCCAGCCGGCGATGCCGTTGGGATTGGACAGGCGGTAGTCCTGGTTTTGGCAGATGACAGCGGGGTAACGGCTGGGGTCGGGGTTGCTCTGCCACATGGACAGCACGGTGGTCTTTGTGAACCGCTCGCGGGCGTTGTCCCAGTTGCTCAGCTCTTTGATGAGGACGGCAGCCTTCTCGATGCCCATCTTGACGTAGGGGGTGAGCACGTCCTTGGCGATGCTCAGAATCACCGTGTGATGGCCGAGCTGACGACAGCCCGGTCCTGGGGGTCGGCCGCAGCGGCACCGGGGTCGGCGACAACGTCAAAGGTGTCGAACATGGCCAGCTCCGAGAGGTCGAGGACCTTGGTATCGTTGACGGGAACAGCGGCGGGGGCGGCCAGGGCCGAGGTGGCCAGGGTCGCGACAGTGAAGAGCTTCGTGAACTGCATCTTGATTATTTGTGGATGTACGGACTGAATATCAACAAAACAACGAGAGTGGACGCCGGGAGGGAGTGAGGAGTCTTGGGAGGAAGAGGGAGGTAAAACGACTGGATGGCTGACTGGGCTGCCGATGAGGAGAGAGGGAACAGATGATTGCCAATGAGAAAGAGAAGCCCGCCCTATATACTCGGGCGCCCAGTCTGGACAGCCGCGATGCCTCCTCCTCTGTACGGGCGTCGTCTCTGGACTGCCGCGGGACTGGCCCTCCCAGGCGCCATCTTGCATGCAACACGCTAAACCAGATCAAGGGCCACTGGGCCCTCTGGATGCACCGTCACCCTCAATAGCGCCATCTCCCCGCTCCAGGACTGAGCCAAGCTTCGCATACCCCATAGCCTCCTATGCCAACGCGATCTTGGCAATGGCGCCTAATATACCATCGAGGGACCGGGCAGATATCACGTGGTCGTCGGGCTGAGCCAGTAGAGGGCCAGCTGCTGGCTTGTGGAGACCGCGGTGGTTTTGCAGCGCCTGGACGGCCTGGTTCGCCGACAGCAGCACCTATTACATGTTATATCTGCGCGGATGCCATCCGCTGCAGGGTCAGTCGGGTGGTTGCCCCATGTGAGGATCCGGCCCGCGGGCTTGCGACTTTCATGCGCCCCCGGTAGCTGCCGACGACGGCAAGCGCACGCTCCAATGGTTCCCTGACGGATCGCTCCCACTGAGGATTTTATTCGCCGCTCCGAGATTTCCGGTCACCTTGTTAGCCTGTTGTCAGGCATCACCCTGTGCTTGTTTGCTTGTTTATGCCGCTGGCTCCCTTCCAGGGACTCCCGGCTTGTCATAAGGGCGGCCCGCTCGCATAGCTCCTCCTGTTTCGTTTGGCGTTCGTGATCCTCCTTCAGCAGAGACACAGGCTCAGCAAACACAGGCACCTCGCACCCAACAGGTGACAGACGCGGTGAGTATTCCAAATTAATCCCCGCCGACTCCGTCCTGTCTTGCAAACCTCCCTCCAGTATGGCTTCCCCAACGCCACGCTTCTTAGTCTCCAATTTCGTTCTTTGGCTCAATTAGACCGACCGGGCCTGACTTATCCGTATGTTCCAGTGAGCGAGAAAAGAAAGCGTTAATCAACCTAACCCACGGCGAGCGCACACCTATGTTGCCACCAGGCCAGACGCGGCTGATGAATGCTCTTTGCGCGGGAATGGCAGTAGTTTTGCTGTGTGCGGTGGCACCCCGATTTTTCCCATTGTACTGCAAGTCGACAGGCATAGGGGAGAGTTGGCTTGTCGCCATGTCACCATCGTCGTCATTATTGTGTATTGGTGGCCGGTTGCCGGCGGTTGGAATATGCTAGCTTCACCCAGACGGACTGTAAACTAACAATACTCGACCCTCGAGAGCGCAGCAGCCGGTCTGCCCGTTCCCGTTACCTCTACTCCTCGTCGAGCTTGCCGGGCACGAAGAATTTAGGGCGGCTGCTCTTCCTCTTGGGCATGCTGAGTTTTTTCGGAGGAGTCTCAGGCGTGAGGGGTGGAAGAGCCTCACTTTCCTTCCTCGGCGCATCGGATTGCTGAGGGCTGAGCTTTATATCATCGAGACTTTCGGCGCTCACGGAAACTCTCAGAGGAGAGGGCCAAGCTGGACCGCTCGCTTCCAGTCGCGGAAGGAGCGTCCCTTGTTTGTCGCCGTCTAGGGAAATCTCCTCCCACACTTCATGGGGCGTCTCCTCCAGGGAGACATTACCCTCCTCGACGGCAATCTTCCCAAGGGGGAGGAGCGCGTCTATCTGTTCGTTCAGTTCTCGCATTACAGCACTCGTCTGGAGGCGGTCCGCCGAGTGTGCTGGCGGCAACGAGGAAGCCTCGCACTGCTCATCCCTTGGGGAAACAGGGATGGAGACTCCCCCACGCCGACCGGCGGAACTGACAAGCGGCACTGGCAGCTGGTTCGGAGGGGACGCAGACGTAGTCCTTTGCAGCTCTGTGAGCATACGTGCAGACACAAGTGACCTAGTCCTTGGAGGTTCGGATTCGGGCCACACGAATCCGTCGCTTTGTGGTGCCGACATGGCCCCGTTACTGCCCTGAGCTGATCCGAATGAGGGCATGGCAATCTTATCTGGTCCTCTTTGAGAGGTGCTCCTGGTGGCGAGATTGCTTCTGGTGAGTTGGCTAATCGCCAAGCAAGTCTGTAGCCCCCTAGTAGGATACCTCACGGGTCTCAAACACACGCGAGCGCCAGTTATAGCCCGGTGAACTTGTTTACATGCTAAGCAAACAATGGTATGAGCCAGGCAGTCCTCCTTTTTCGTACTCCTTTATCCTTGTCTAGAACTTGGCTCCTTTATTGTTATTTCTCGTACAAAGACCAGTTAAACCAAGCATAACCCGATTTATAAGCCGTGGCCTGGCCAGCTAGCCCACGCCAATATGGTGTTTATACCAACTCGCGGATGTGGATGCACACATTCACCGCCACCTGCCAGAACGAGCCTGCTCTAATGAATCTCGCCGCGCAGCATCCCGAAATTGCTAGGCATGCTGTCGCTGGCATGGCAGCCAAACCAGCCACTCAATATGACTTAACGAGCCTTACTGGTTTTGCTATTCCAGCTACAGTTGACACGGCGGTGGCATTGCAATTGTTGTAGGCGTTGGAGGATATGTGCATGAGAAGAGAACACCTCGCTGTATTATATATAATTTGATAACACTACCTTTGATAACACTACCAGCTTAGAAACGATGCTTAGCCTCGCAATGCCAGGGATGAGACGAAGTGAGAGGTGAATCAATTCCCGACGGTAAAATGCTGAAGTTGCATGTGCCTTAGGAACCTACTTCGTTAGCAATAAGTCCAGTGACACTCACTTAACCGGATGGGAAAGCAGCACCCAAAAGCCGAAACGGATATCTTCCGGGTTGTAACCCTTCATTTTAGATAGTAAGCCAACCATTTGCTCCACGGCAGGGTTAAAAGACGGGGTCGGGGTCGTAAATTAATACCTAGCTGGTTTCATGGTTAGCTATTCGCTACTGGCCAGTAAAGAAAAGAATTTGTCCTGGAAAGGCTGTAACCTTAGGTCGTGCATTGTAGTAAAGTGTGGGTGAACCACACAGATGGATTGTTGATTAGGGCTAGCAGGATTACTGGAAGCGGAGAATCCGCCCGGTCCTGATATGGTCATCGGAGCAACCTCGCTGTTGGCGCGTAGTAAAGGTGGTAGGTTAACGGTGAAGACCATACCAGTGCTTGGCCTTGGCCTTGTCGTTGTCTCCACTCACCTCGTCTTCCGGCTTCTTCTGCTCGGGGGTATCCGGCGACGGGAGGTCAGCCTGCGGGCGGTTGTAGCCTTTAAACAACCACCCAATCCTCACTGATTGGCTTCGTGTCTCGGGGCTCGCCCCGCAGGTGACTAACATAATTGCTAGCGGTTTGGGCAGCACCGCCCACCGCAGCAGCAGTGGCCTCAAGCTTAGCCTTCAGACGACCAAATGCAGTTGTTGGGGGCTCTTTTACGGGAACCGGAGGATGCATGCCGAGGATGCTGCTAAGGTCCTCTTTCCCGCCGTTCTTGATGCCATAGTTGTTACTTCTGTAAACTGGGATGTCGGTGGCCGTGCTAGCTGAGCTGTTGGTTCCGTTCGAGGACGACATTGTGGTGTCCCCGAGAAGGCGAAAGGAGCTAGTCCAGCTGGAGTGCAGACTGCCCTTGTGGGAGGTGAGGCGGTTCGGGCTCTGCTGGGCGATATCTTTGGCTTGGTGCTAAGGAGGTATGAGCTGAGCAGAGTGTCTGGTTGGTAAACAAGCGGCGTTCATCGGAGTACGCTGTAAGCTTATATATACCTGCGGCGGGGTTCATCGGGTTGTTTTAACAAAGGATTGTACAGTAGTTAATGATTGAACAACGGCCACGCATGCTACCCTCCGTACTCATTGATATCAACAAAGCTTCCTATTTCTTTGCTGTTTATGCAAACAAAGACTTTGTCCTGCGTACACCGGAAACAATGGAAGCCAAAGAGAAGCGGGCCACCCAAAAGGGGAAAAAAATTAATGCAGAGGAAACGGGCGTAGTAAAACGCTTCATGGAGAATGGCGCGCAAAAAGTGAACAAACGGACCCCTGGTTCGGATAATGCGAATTACACGCTCAACTGCCACCATCCCACTTGTTCCCATCGTTTCCATCACTTGCAAAGCCTTGCCCCCCGTTGCGAGAATCTCCCACCCAGACCATTCCGTGCTCGCCCACATTGCTGCTGTAAACAAAGCCGGTCTTCTTGTATAGGCTGATCCCGGGGGGGTCCGCCATTAGATTAATGTTGGGCACACCCTCGGACGGCTTATTCTGCTCGATATAGGCGAGTAGCTCCTGCATAATGGCGACGCCGAGGCCTTGCCGCTGGTGCTCCGGCAAAACAGCCATATCGGCAATGTGGAAGTACCAACCACCGTCCGAAATGATGCGTCCCATGCCCACGACCTGGTCGACGGTGGGATTGGACGACTGATGCGGTGGCACCGCGTAACGGATGTGACAGCCGTACCAGGTTCCGGAAATAGCTCGGGATGCCTGCGGCTCGGTTATGGAAGTGAGGCCGGCTGCGACACGAAGGTTGCGATAAGCCGGTACTGGTGGCATCCCTACATTAAGTGTGTAGTTTGGTGGGAGCTGAGGAGAGAGGCAGCACGCGGCCGCTGTAGTTGGCGCTGCGGTGGGCGGCATTGTAGCTTCGATGGTAAATGGGGGGCTTTGTTGAAATGGGCGTACCGGAATACTTTGGTTTATTCCACGTGGACAACTTATAATTCCAGCTGGAATGACCGCGACAGCCTGCTGCCTGCGACAAACGCAAGGTTTAAATCGGGTTAGTTAGTAGTGGAGCCCAAGCCCATGCATACATTACGAGGCGGTAAAGCACGAGTGCGGAAAGCGAGCGGGGTAAGGACCAGTTAGTTTAATGCTTAAGGAAAAAGTAAAATAAATTATTAACCGAAAGCAGCTCATGTTTAATTAATTGTTACAAAGGTGTTACAACCAACGGATACGACCAACAGGAGGCCCGGCAGCTGAGGACCGTTTGGACAGGTGGAGGGGCAACCCCGCACCGTCACGTGACAGACGGGTGATACACTTGACACTGAGGGTATCAACAGTATCACTGATACTCGCGATACTTAGGGAATTACCAGTATCATCCCCAGGCAGGGCCAGTGCCTCGCTTAAGCACCAGATATAAAAGAGAAGGATCTCCTACCATCCCAAATAGTTCTTGATAGATGCACTGGCATTAGTTAATTTAAGTTAGCTTCCAAGTATCCCTTGGAGCAAGCATTCAAACCGCACCAAGTTATTTGTAAATCCTTTCAGTTTGTTAAATTACGCGCTGCTGTTCAGTATTCTTCAGGTGCTTTACTTTAGGAGCAGAGGCTTAACTGTAACAAAAGGAAGCAGTTTATACAGTTTAAAAGAAGCTTTAAGCACGGGTATTAACTGCTTAAAGCACTGGAAAAGCGGCTACTTAACTTAAAAGCTTACAACGCTTCCAAGCATTAAAAAGAAAGCTTAGTACGCAAAAAAAAAACAAGGGGATTACGCATATATAAAAAGCAGGAACCTTTACAAAGCTTTGCACTTAAAATCCTTTATTTTTGTAAAGGAAATTAACTGGATAGCATTATACTTGTAATAAACTTACTGTTAAAGGTCGATTTGTGCAAAAGCGGGTGGTTACCAGGTTACGGGCCGGATGCGGTATTTCCCCGTTTAGGCCGATGCAATTCTCTTTCCAAACTGTTATTATATAATTAATTGTTCCTTTTTTAACTTCCCCTTTTTTCGTACCCTTTTGGGGGCATGCGGGGTTGGTTTTATAAATTTTTTCCGTATTCCAAGCGCTTTCGTACAATTTAAGCTTCGTTTTATCTTTTAACTTTGCCGTTATATTTTGGCCGCAATATCGGTAATTTGCCGGCACGTTACCGGGAAAGTTCGTGCTTTGCTATTTGTTTTAACGCCTTTTCCTTTTTTTTGCTTGGGCGGTTTCGCCCGTACATTTAATACATTGCCCTTTCCCGATACGGCTTGCCCCAAGCCGTACGCGCTGCGCGTGGGTTTTTGTAAGCGGCCGGTAAGTAATAGTATTTTGCTGGGCTGCTTTAATGCCCAATTGCGCCCGGGGAAACCGGTTGTAAATCCTTTTAGCGCTTTAAAAAATAAATTCGTTATAGTATAAAAAAGCTTTTTTTTTTAGCTTATAACCGCGGGCTTTTTTTTTGCATTTTTAATAACCATTTTAAAACTTTTAATGGTAACAACGGTAAATAATTAATATTTAACCGTTTTTTTTTCGGATTTTGGAATTTAACCGGTAATTGCAAATATTATTTAGCTTACCCGCCGCGGTAAAAAAGTTAAGCTTCCGTTTGGAACCCGTTTTGGGCCTTTTAGTCCTAATTAGCCCGTTAGCTTTTTTTGGCCTTTTGGTTTTTTAAACCCCGAATTAACGCTTTGCCGGTAACCCCCCGGTAAACCTTTTAGCTATTGCGGGTTTATCGAACCCTTTTGCGCTTTTAACCATTTAAAAAAAATTTAAACGCTTTGCCGGTAATTTTTTGGCGGGTTTTAACCGCCGCGGTAAAAAAACCGCCGCTAAAAAAAAGCGTAAAGCGCGTAACAAACGCCGCCGCAACGTTTTTAATTTTAATAAATTTGCCCCCGAAACGAACATTGCTTTTTTTTCGCTTTATATAAATATTTGCAACGCGTTTCCGCCGCAAAAAGTTATCGATTTTTAATAAAATAATAATTGGAAATTTATTTATTTGCTTTTTTTTTAAAAACATTTATACGGAACGTACGGTATTTTGCGGCCGTTATTTAAATTATTAAATATATTAAAATTATGCCGTTAACCCCCGTATATTAATATGCTTTAATAATTATACGGGGTTTTTTAAATGCATTTATTGCAAAAACGTGGTTAGCAATAAAATTTGCGTTAAATTTTCCAAATGGTTTTGGAAAATGGCCCAAAACCTTTACAAAATTTTAAATACCGTTTACAAACGGTACTTTAAAACGATACCGAAGCTTTTTAAAAAGCTTGTTAAAACCCAATTTCGCGCTTGCAAAGTTATTTAAAAAGCCAAATCCTTTCATACCATATTGGCTAAATAATTTGCGCGATACAAACGTTAAGCCATTATCCAAAAGCGCATTTAACGCAAAATTATTAGCATTGCAATATTAAAAGTTACCCAAAAAATTTCCCAATAGCTTTGCATTATTGGCATTTAAGCAAAAAAGCAAATTACGGGCTTGGTTGCCGCTTAAACCTTTTTTAACGAAATAACGGCAACTTTTAAAAGTTTCGAAAAAAGCTTAACCCTTTTTATTCGTAATATTAATATTAGCTTTATTATAATTGCGGCAAATTTGGATATTATAATTTGCGCTTGCATAGCTTCCCGTAAAAGTGCGGCGTTTGTATCGGCGCCGGAAAATAACGGCTTTAGCGCTAACGATTTTAGCAATAATAATTTTAGCGATACCGATTTTAACGCCAACGAAAAAAACGTAATTTCCGGAAATTTTGGTTCCTTTGGATACGGCATTTAATTAATTTTTTTTACATGTTTTTTTTAATTAATTACTGGTATTCCTTTTTAAAAAGTAATTAATTTTAAAAAATTTCGTTATTTTGCTATAGTTAAAATTACAATTTCCTTTTGTTATGCTGCTTTTGTAACATTGCGAAATTCCAATATTTTTAATTACCAATTAAGCTTTAATGCCCCAATAAATAATTTCCAAATGCTTTTTTTTCGTTTTTTAATAGGTTTAAATACCGCCAATATGCATTTGCCGTTACCCAAACGCTTAAGCCCGTTCGTTATACCATTTAAAAAAATTCCATTTCTTTTTCGGGCAAATAATGGTATTTTATTACAACGTACGTTTAAAATGCGGTAATTGCTTTAGCGTATTGCGCTAAGCATGCCTTTTACGGGCTTTCCGAAATATGCTATACTTTGCATATCCTTTAGGATTTAAATATGTTGCATTTAATAATTTGGGGCGTTTTTTATATTATACCGTTTTTGTTTAACTTTTTATTTATAAAGTACGATATTTTATGGCTTTTACGAACCGCTTACGGGTTTTTTCCCGTCTTTTCCCGGTAACCAACCAGTTCGGTACGTTTAAACCATTTTTTCGGGCCCTTTTTTTAAACCCTTGCTTGTATTCTTTAACAATCTTTTTCGTAATATCCTTTTTTGGAATTTACGAATTTTCCAATTCGTTATAACTTATCCATTTAACCAAATATTTTCGTTTTTGCAAAAGCTTTTTATATTTTAACAAAGCCTTTATTTCGAAACGATCC